AAGTATTGTTGGTACTGGCTAAGCATTAAATGTAGAGTCTGGAATTAACTTGGTCATGTGGAGAAGGTTTGTAATAACAAAGCAAACCATCAGGTACAACAAGCCCAAGTTGTTGAACACCAACAACAAGAGGAGCAATTATTCATGGCTTCTTGCTATTCAGTCAATAGTAGCAATGAAACATGGCTAATAGATAATAGGTGCACTAATCACATGACTCAAAATATTGACACTTTTAAAGAACTTGATAAGTCCTTCAACACTAAAGTTACTATAGGAAATGGAGAACCTGATGATGTCAACGGAAAAGGTGTTGTAGCTGTTGAAACTCCCTCAGGTGTCAAATATATTTGAGATGCTTTATTTGTACCTGAAATAAATCAAAGTCTTTTAAGTGTGGGGAAAATGATGGAAAAGAAATATTCATTGTATTTCAAAGACATGAGATGAAATATTCTAGATCCTTTTGGATCTAAGTTAACGACGGTTCAAATGAGAAGTAATAGTTTTCTGGTAGAATGGAAGCAAATAACCATGCATACATTTCCAAGTGCTATTCGTGATTCCTCCTTGTGGCATAAAAGGTTGGGTCATTTTAGTTACTCAATCTTAAAACAAATGAGTTCTCATGATTTGGTTCAAAATTTACCAGTAATTGATGATGTTGTTGACATATGTGATGTATGTCAATTCGGAAAATAAAGTAGATTATCATTTCCTGCTGCGTCAACCTGAAGAGCTTTTGAAAAGTTACAGCTCATACACACAGATGTGTGTGGTCTGATGCCAACGACATCTTTAAAGGACAACAAGTATTTTTTTTTCTATTTATTAATGATTTTACAAGGATGAGTTGGGTATTTTTTCTAAGGCAGAAGTCAGATGTGTTTGCTGCATTTCAGAGTTTCAAACTTATGGTTGAAAATAAGGCTGATTGTCAAATTAAAAAGCTCATATCTGATAATGAAATTGAGTATACAACAGGAGAATTCAAATTTTTTTGCGAACAAGCTGAAATCCAAAATCAATTTAATGTTCCTTACACTCCTCACACTACGCCAAAATTGATATTTTGTATCGCTTTATTTAATAGTGTTTTGTAAAGAAAGTGCTATTAAAAAGGAAAAAAACACATCTATAATAGCACTTTATGGTCAAACGCTATTATAGAATACAAACAATGCAATTTTGATAGCACTTTTTGAAAAACACTATTATTAAACTTTATGATAGCGCTTTCTACAAACTCTATTAATATTATAAACTAAGATAGTACTTTTGTTAAAACGTTATTAATATTATTCACTAAGATAGCACTTTCGTCAAAATGCTATTAATATTATTCACTATAGGATAACACTTTTATTAACTGCTATTATTGTACTATCCTATGTTAGCGTTTATACAAAAGTGCTATTGTTTTCATAATATATAATTAATAAAATAAAATAAAAAACATTCTCTCATAAACATGTTAGATGTTATCAACAATAAATTCTATTAGAGAATTATTTCATTTAAAAAAAATTGAAACTTAAATTATTATTTTTGATGATATAGTAGTTAAATATTTTATTAAAAATTATAATAAAATATTTTTAAAATTATGGATATGTTATTATATAAATAATAATTTTTATTATAATTAGTTTTGATATCTGTGCTAAAAAATTAAAATATTAATCAACTAAAAAATAAATTTAAATTTATTAATATTTGTGGTTGCAAATACTACTTTTTAAAAATAAAAATAATAAATATTAATTTAAAAAATTTAATAACTATAAATATGAAATGATTCAATCATAAAATAATACAAATTTTTTTTTCATAGTGAGGATGACAATGATGTTGAAACAAAAACAATGTAGGTGGATGAATAATTTCTAAGGGAGGTTCTACCATTAGGTACCATTCCTTTTATTTGTCCAGTTACAGGGCCTACTTGTTTGAAATATTTGTGAAACTATTAGTACTGATCAAATTAGTTTTTAACTTATGTCTTTTGGTTTGTGTTGTGGGAATATGTTTACACATAAAGAAAGAAAGAGAAACCCCTTTGGGAGATGAAGATCCTTCGTAGCTCTGCAATCTCAGATCTCCATTTTTGTTCGTAATTGTCTCCTCTGTCATTCGCTCACCGTCGGCCGCCACTACTTTATCATCATATGGTTAGCTTTCCCCTTTCTATCTTTTCTATAAGTATTTAGGGTTTTTGTCAATGTTTGATTTTTATTTTTTTTGCAAAACCCTCACGCTCTCAAATTTGACCTCCCTCACTCTCTTTCTCTTGATCACAAAAATAGGGAAAGGTAAGAAGGTTTTATTTGGGTGAAAAAGAGATTACTGTTTTGATTAAGGGTTCAATACTCTCTTTCTCCTTTGAATGTGAATATTTTTGTCGATTGGAATTTTGTTGAGGTAAATTTGTAAAAACGAATTTGATTTGTGTTTATTGGAACTCTATGAGAATGTAGGTTTTGATTAGAATGTAGGTTTTGATTGAGCACTATTTTTTTGTATGTTTGAATGGTCTGTCAATTATGTTATGCATTAGTCTCGACTAATTTGAAACATTAATAATTTCTCTATCAAATTTATTCAGGGGTTGCTTTGCTTTACAATGGAAGCAAAAAATTTTGGATATAAAAATTGATTTTTTTGGGTATGATGCATTACATGTTACAAATGGACATCTTGTAAAAGGTGTATGATACATTACATACTACAAATGGACATCTTGTGAAATGTCCACCTGTATCAAGAATGTCGCGGTCGGTACTGTCCAATCTTTTAACACGTGTTCCTTGGAGAAGGGTTTGTGTCTTTCAATCTTTATGTTGTGGCAGCTGAAATTGATGAAGGAGTTGATTCCATATAACAGATTCTTAAGAGATGCATTCACATAGTGAAAGATATTGAAGTCCAAATTGGTCGATGTGCTTTATATAGGTGATAATTATATTTGTATAGATTAAATCTTATATGTCAATGCATTCATTTAGGATATGGATTGATGGAATTAATGCATGCATTTTTTTTTTAGTACATTAAAATATTATGATTTTTGTAAACAAGTGAAATTGGTTTAAAATATTATTTGGTATTGAATTGAATGTAGCTTTTGGATATTTACGCATCAAAAGAATGATTTTGTGTACAAAAAAAACAAAAGTGTACTACAATGGCATTTTATAGAGATTGCTATTAAAGAAACATCCTATGATTTCACTTTTAAGAGAAAGCTCTATCAAACATGTGCCATATATTAACGCTTTATTTAAAAGTGCTATCAAACATGTGCCATATATTAGAGCTTTGTATGAAAGTGCTATCAAACATGTATTCTATAATAGTGTTTTGTTTGAAAGTGCTATCAAACATGTGCTCTATATTAGCGTTTTGTTTGAAAGTTCTATCAACATCAACTCAAAAAATGTATTATAAAACGTAAAATGTCCACTTCAGTAGCGCTTAAGAAAAAGTGCTATTAAAAACCGATATTTTAATAGTGCTTTTAAAGTGATATTAAACAAAATTGTTTACAATAGCTGCGTAATTAATAGCGTTTTTAAGTGCTATCAAAAATAAAATAAAGCGTTATTAAAAAGCTTTTATGGTGTAGTGTCAACAAAATGGAGTGAGTTAAAGGAAGAATAAGACAATTATGGAGATGGCTCGACGTTTGCTTTTTGAGAAACATATTCCTAAAAACTTTTGGGATGAGGCTGTCAACTCCTCAGTGTACTTGTTGAATTTCTTGCCTACCAAAGCCTTGAAGGGAAAAACACCCTTTGAAGCATGGTATTAAAGAAAGTCGTATATTCAACATTTATAAATATTTTGATGTGTGTGTTATGTCCATGTTCTAAATGTGAAAAGATATAAATTGGAAACAAAATGTGTGGTCAATATATTTTTGGAGTACATCAGCAATTCTAAAGGGTATCAAATATATAACTAGGATACCAAAAAAATTCTCACTACGCCAAATAAGCTATTTAATAGCGCTTTTTTTTGTTTTTGATAGCGCTTAAAAGTGCTATTAACCGCGCCACTATTGTAAATATTTCTTATTTAATAGCACTTTAAAAGCGCTATTAAAGTACCAATTTATAATAGCGTTTTAATTAAAGTGCTATCAAAGTCAGTATTTTGCATGTTTTTTGTTTGTTTTTTTATAGCACTCTAAACAAAAAGCGCTAATATATAACATATGTTTGATAGCGCTTTCAAATAAAGTGCTAATAAATGGTACATATTTGGTACAATATTTTTAATAAGTACAGTACAATATTTTTTCTTACACAATCATTTTTTTTGGTGTAAATATAAAATAACTATATTCAATTCAACACAAATAACGCTTTAAGTTACTCATTGCATATATATTATGATCCATCAAATACCAAATAACATTTTAAATTACCAAATCCTATTGTTTCCAAATATCATAACATATAGAATATTAAGAGGGCGTTTGCATAGCCAAATTTGTAGATGCCCATCTATGAGTACTTCAATCCAAATCCAAAAACATACAATCAAATTCTCTAAACAAAATACCAAAAAAATAAGAAAGGATAACAAAACAATCCCATGTAGTAAGCACCTTCATGATCCAAAAGCGTTGAACTCATAGATACAATCACTAATTAGGCAAAATAATTGCTTCTTGTTTTCCTGTATCATAGAAGGAATATTGATTATGTATTGTACAATAAAAACTAATTCAACATATAAAGAATAATCAAACATTTAATATGGGTCTAACAAGAAGCGCATAAAATAAGGAATGATTATTATAAACTAATAACAATAAATCGATATAACTAATGCAATAATTGAACTAATTAAGTCTAACAAGAACATGACTTGTAAATATATAGACCACAATTTCCATTATTAGATGCATATAAACACTAAACAGAATATAATTCAAATTCTCAAAATATACATAAACACTTAATTGTGTGTAACTTTCTTTTCATGATCCAGAACTAGATATCAAACACCTTACAATTGTTACTACGAATATTTGCTTTTGAACAAAGGAAGAAGAAAGAAGATGTGTATATTGAAATATGCCAAAAGCTGTAAAAAAACACATTTCAAAAGAAAGACAACATGAGAGATAGAGAATGTATAAACAAAAAGAAGGGAAATAATGATAGTAATATTGTTAATACCTATGCCAAAACCAGTAATTTTCGCTGGTTTCAAGTGTCCGGCTTAATATTGCCAGTGACAGTGCAGAAAAACCAGCTAATGCAAAAGGCCAGTGATACCGTCTTAGAAGTGTTCCAATAAGATTACATATCCATCGCTTTATCACCTGTAAACTGCAGATAAGGTTCATCACGAATAAGTTATATTCAGTGGAATTTAAACAAATCGCTTTTGTTTCCTATTACGCTATGTAGTACAAAATATTGTCTAATAGTGGCTATAGCGCCGTCTAATAGTGCTATAGCAGCGCTATAGCCACTATAGCATAGCAGAATTTGAGTTAACCGCTATCAATACAGTGCCATTGATTGCTATTATGTTGCATGTAAACCAATATAATGTCGTACTAGAAACAAACTTACATCTGAGAGAAATCAAGTGAGAATCTAACTGAAAATGAAAGGGACCTATACTTTGTTGACAGCTCTATAACCCATCCAATAAGGAGACCAAGAGCACCAATCACCATCACAAGAACAACATTGGAAGACCTACATATTTCAAAATCAAATATGAAAAAGACTATTAACATTTTTATGGTGTTTGTGTATATGCGTGCGCCTGTGTGAATATTCGGTCTATTAGTTCATTTACCTGGTTGCATTTGTTACAGCCATTAGAGCAGTAAGGATAACAACAGCTGTGTGGATTGCCCTCTTCAATACTTCATCAATGGTAGCTAGATAAAGAAAAGTGCTAATCACAGCCATGAAAGAGAGCCAGAAGTCCATGAACTGTAAGACGTTAAAGTTTAATGCACACCAAGCACCTACATCACAAGCATGATATAGTCCACTAGCAATTCCACTAGATGTGAACAAAACCCATTCTGCTAATGCCTGCATAATAAACGATGTTATGAAATTAGAACACCACCATAAAAAGGTAAACTATGGGTTGCATACAAACGTTTATCTAATGAGATGATAAGAGTTACCAAACAAGTAGAGAGAAAACCACCTTCTGCCGAAGGGCCCAATAGGCAGGAAGTATGGCCGCAGCATTTGATACAATGAGAAAAAATGATTGTCGTATATGCCCTGCACAAAATTTCAGAAACTGGATTAGGGAATAAAAATATATATGATCTGTCTTGCATGCCATTTTGTTACTACTCTACACATCAAGAATATAATGAGTTTTCACGTGATTTCATGAACTGGATTTAGAGAATTGTGTTTCATTTCAAGAACCCTGAAATTCCTCACTTGATTCCTCTCTAGTTGAACCATTTTTTGTAAATTGAAAGAGGGTTTTTCTATTCTTATGATCATTGCAATCAAAACCCTCAATAGTTACACGATTTCATTGAGAAAACTTGGAGAGTTGTGTTTCAATTTGACAAGTCTTTTGAAAGTAAGGTTAGGTCTAAAGGTGTAAACATTTACAAGCACAAAGGTTCTAACTTGACAAAAAAAAAACTGAAGTTAAAAAAGAAATAAAGATAAAGGACCAATAGATGAGTTTGCCTGATAAATAAGTTACACAACAAGATTAATAAAATCGATGCTTTATATAAGTAAATTTGAATACTGCAATGCAATAAAATCACTAACTTCATCAATCTGAAAAATGAACAAGCACCTTGATGTGATACAATTTCAATGCTACAGTCGATGCCTCCATGGTTTCGATCACAAGAGCAGAAGCTGAAGACAACAAATTAAACGTTTAAAATGATGAATTCCTTAACACATTCGGGAAAAAAATAAAAAACATGCAATAATCTGATCTCCAAAAAAGAAGATTAATACAATTAGGAACAAGCAAAGGGTTTAAAATAGACCTGTATGATGTCAAGCCACTTGCATCAAAAGAAAATTTACAGTCCCCGTGAGAGGAACAACGTTTCGGGAATCGTTCAAGCGAAAGAGACATGACAGTTGGCCCTTTTGAAGGATCGTGGCTGGTATTAAGATATCTAAGACCAAAACCCCAAGTTCCTTCTCTAGCATACATAATATAGAAATTGATCTTGTCATCACTCGAATCATATAGCATGAAAAACATAGATGTGTCGCTTTTTATTGACTTGTTAACATAATGATAGTCTCGGTTAATAAGAGATGGTAGTCCACCAAATCTAATGTAAACTTCATAATTGATCTTCACGTCTGAGGATAGTTGTACATGAATATTTCCTCCGGCTGCACCACGAGGAATGTCCAAAAGTAAATAAGTCCAAATGTTACCAGGTTCGCCATTGTATGATGAGTAACTCAAAAGTGGTTCAAGAGGGAAATTGGCAGAAGTATAAGATGCTCCAGCGCTAACCGGTAAATAATATGATTCAAAGGGAGTTGGACCTCTCCGTACAAATGTCTGCAGAAAACCATTCTCGTATTGTCAATAACTGATTCCAGCATAAATAAATACCTTCTAGCATCAAGACATCGCATGATTCTACCCTAGGATGTTCTTGAATCACTTCAAATCAAGAAATAATAATAGAGACGATTTTTGCATAACCAAACTTAAACAACTTTTCCGATAACTTTCTAAGTGGTTAACACAGTTCAAATAGGTGGTTAATTACGTTCAGCAGATGGTTAATGGATATACTAGTTTTTTAAACTCATTAACCATCAACGTAACTTTATTAACCACGAATTTGGACGTGGTTAACCATTTGGACTTGGTACATTAACTTGATTCTACCCATTCTACTTGTAACCTCAAATGTTGTATTGTAGTACAGGGATTAGCCTAACCTTAATTGTGGTCCAAGGATTAGCATAACCATTCTACCGATACTCAGAAATTTTAGAGCCGATTAGCATAAACTTAATTGTTATTATAAAGAAAGTTCTTTAGGTGACAACACAAAAAGGAAATTTTGGCAGAAAATATCTTGCAAAGAATACTACCTGAAGCGTGTAAATATCCATTGTACAATTTGGACCAGCCTTCCCAAGTGGGCATTGAAGCACATGAGATTCCACTGAATAGCAAACCCTTACATTGCTATCTTGTATCTTTATAGGATCGATCGGTACAATAGTAATGTACCAACGACCGATTAATGGAGAATGAATAACCAGCGGCACTTTACTTAAATCACTGGAGTAATCGAACGAAGCAACTGAAGGCATTGAACCATGGCGAACAAAGCACATTAAACTGACATCATTTGCACCAGATGTTTTGTTTGAAGGCGTGACATTGAATTTGACATCACTTGCCATAATAGTAAATTCGTCTGCCACATTTATTATATCAAAGGAGAAAATGTATGATACGCTTTCATCAGCACAAAAAGTTTTCAAACTACTTTTGCAGGTCATCAAATTTTCCAGCATTGTCTCGTTCACCGTTGTAGCTTTCAAAGTACTATTGACATTAGATGTTGTGCATGAAAATGGATAAACGGGACTGTTACAGAAATCACCCATCATCATTGAATTTGTACATGCTTCCACAGTTATATTGGCAGCAAAGGAGTATGCTGGACCTCGGACAATCTTCAGAAGTGAAAATATTATTACTCTTAGGGTAATTTTCAGAATTATTTTGGGTAAAATATAATATTTGCATAATAAACCTTACCATCTTCGACTGTGTTCTTGTAGGTCCAATGCCATTGAAAAGACCAATGAACCAAACACCTGGAGATATCTGAACAACAATTTGTTATGGTTTCCATCTTAGGAATTACATAAGAGCAAAAGAAAAATCACTCGCAACTAAACATTCCCAAAGCAACATATATGCTAGTTATATAAAATCGATCGTGTATTGTGACCTAACATCTCAAGCTTTTTGGAGGGCTTGTCCTTGACATATCACATACCGGAAGCTTTTCGGATCATGTATTAAATAAAATATAATGCTTCAAGTAAAAAAAAAAGCGTAAAACAATACCTGATTGTTTGTCAGTTTCATAGTGATATTTTTCTGCATAGGGAAGCATTGTTCCACATCTAAACCATTTATGCCTGAATCTGAATCGATGGTGAATCCGATGGCTGAAGAATGGATCCGGGTGAAAACCGAAGGAAGGGATGACGGTGGTAAATCAATGACTAACGGCGGTGAATCAATGAAAACCGAAGGAAGCAGAGGAAGATTTGACGGCGGTGAATCAGTTGGGAGAATCAATGGCTAAGAAGGAAGCAGAGGAAGATAATGTTTTTGGGAGAATCAATGGTAGTGTTTTTGTTTTTGGCGGTGAGTGGATGCGGGAAACCCAATTTTCTGAAAATGTGTTTTTTTTTTTTTATCAATTAATTAATTAATTCATTATTATATATAACATAGCGCTTTTAATAAATGCTATTATATAGGTAGTCAAATAATAGCGTTTTATACAAAATGCTATCTTAAAGAAGTTTAATAATAGCGTTCTGGTACAAAGTGCTATCAAAATTACATAGTCTGTATTATATAATAGCGCCCGATTAAAAAGTGCTATTATAAATGTGTTTTTTCCATTTTAATAGCATTTTTTTTAAAAGTGCTATTAAATTAGGTGATACAAAAAATCATTTTTGGCTGGTTATTAGATATGTGAAGTTTGAAGAGTTCTCTAAATGGAATTGGAATAAAAGTCAAGCTGAAGGTCCAAGTAAGGTATTTCCTACGGAGGATAGTTTGGAAGATCAAAATTCAGAAGATAAAGGAGACAATTATAACAGTGATGTTGATTTTCCAACCCGAGATACTAGAACCTTGTATGATATTTATGCCACGTGCAATTACATTAGAGCCTACACGGTATGTTAAAGTTCCTAATTTCGAGGGATGGAAAGCTGTCATGCAGGAGGAGATAAAGATGATAGAGAAAAATCAAATATGACATTTTGTAGACAAAGGAAATCAATTTGGAGTATCGCAATTTAAAAAATCAGATTGCAAATATAATGACCAAAGCTCTTTTCAAGTGAAAGTTTGATGAATTTAGATAAATGCTTAGAGTATTTAAGAAAAATCTCAAGAAAGAGTGTTAGAAATTGATATTTTTCTAACATATTACTTTACTTGTGTCTTACTTTATTTGTTGTGTCACTTTACTTGTTATTGTTTCTATAATGCATACTATTTAGAATAGTGCTGCTTTGTATTTATTTCCACTCCAATAAGCAAGCTTATTGCTTCACGCTATATATTTTGTAGTAAACAATTTAACAACACAACCTTTTCCTCTAAAAATTATCTTTATTATTTTATGGTTTCTATTCATCTTTTCTACACCCCTTTATCATCTCTTCTATTTTTCTTACAACCATAATCAAAGTATTCTTTTGTAAGGTTTTGGCGACTAATCTTAAATAATTGAGTCCAACACTTTTGAACTGCATAGTCCTTCATCTGCCGTAAAACAAACTCATTATCTTTAGAAATGTAGGTAAAACAAAGACTTCACATAAATTACCGCAGAATGATTTAGCATTTCAATAATTTATAGCAATAGATAATTATAGTGTAAGGAAAGAGATATGATATGATAATTTTAAACCATCTCAACCAATTAATTTTAATAGTTCATCTTGTTACTAGATATGATATGTCAGAGTATTTGATAAAATTTACTTATAATGCATTCATCTAAAGGATTCTCTAGTTTTGAAAAAGTCTAGAGATATATTTGTATTAAATATTTATAATTTATCATCCAATTCTAATGCTCAAATTATTTTTGTCAGGCTAGCTAATATTTCAATGGTTTATATTTTAGGAATGTGTTATCAATATACATGAATAAGGAAATGATCTAGATAACCAAAATTAATGCTCCAATTTTACTATCAATAAATAAGCCGTACCCTTGGAAAACGCATCACAGCCATTACCAAGTACCTAAAAACACAAAAAGGTACTTGTCAATCACTGACATAAATGATTTTTAGTTTTAAAATTAAATAGCTCTGTTCTTCTAAAACCTCATCAATTATTTCAGAATGAACCATGTGAAATTGAGAACATACTATAAAGATGCATATGAAAGAAACCTGGTGAAATAATGGATTGTAAATTGTTATTAGGAATTGAATTGTGTGATCTTAACTTTGTATGTGAATGATAAAATAAGGAAATATAATTTTTTACAAAACTTGGTCATTGATATATTTTCGAGAACCACGTCTCTGTAGTGAAGCACTTTCAAGTTTGGTTATGTGAGATGAAATACCATCGTCAGAATACATAAAAACGTTGTCGAAAACGTAGCAACATCGCCGGAATCAGAACATGATATGTAGTTGTAAGAAATACCTTCCCACTATGGCGTTATCTCCTTCTGCAACAACAAACTTGAAATCAGAGATGATTTTGGAGTTTACATTTGAGATGGATTGTAATACAATCATGAAAATGAAGATGGTGATGGGGATTTAGAGTTCTGCATTGATAAGAGAGAAGCGTATAAATATTTTAAAATAATAATAATAATAATAATAATAATAATAATAATAATAATAATAATAATAATAATAATGGATCATGACGGTGACTTTCCTTGATGTATATGTTAAAATGACATCGATACCCTCTCTAATTTTAAAGTATATATTAATCTCCCCTAAATTTAGTAATACAAACAAAATATTTTAGTGATAGACATTAAAAAGAGTGTGGATGTTGTTTTAATAAATCTCAAAAATGGTGAAGACATAATTTAAAATTAAAGGGGGTATCTTTGTTGTTTTAATAAACCTTTGGGGAAATTACAGGTACCTCTCCTATAGTATGTCAAAATAACACTGACACCCCATTTAATATTTAAATAAGCATTTATCTTTCTTAAGGTTTATTAAAATAACACCTACACCCCCTTTAATTTTTAGTGATATTAAAAAATTACAAGTATAAATGACATTTACCTACCGTTTTTGGTCTATCACTAAAAATTTTGTTGGCATATGTATATTTAAGGGAGGTTAATGCATGTTTTAAAATTAGATGAAGTGTTGGTGTTGTTTTAACGTATCTCAAAAGAGGTGAGTGTAATTGTCTCTAAACTTTAAGGGAGATGAGTGTAATTCAGAAGTTTTTTTAATTTTAATCCTTTCATTTTAAAAGCCAACATTATAATCCTTAAACTTTACATCACTTGAGATTTGGTGGAGGAGACTTTACATCACTTGAGATTTGGTGGTCCCCTCCAATTATACATATGTGGTATTGATGATTAGTACTACAATTTTATTTTTAATGATGGTATAATTGAGTAGGATAATTTAACATTATTTATTTACATAACGAATTAATATTTGTAATTATACTTTTTTATAAATATATTTAAAACATTTTATAAGACATATTTTAAAATAATAATTTTGGTCCCAATAGATTTCAATGTCTCTCAACCACATTCCATACGTGTTTTATTTGTTGAGTTTGTTTAAAATATGTACAGACTAAAAAATTTCTTCACCTAAAATGATGTTGGACTATTTCAAGTGCTGAAGTGATATACAAATAAGTTAATTACAAAACGTAGTCGCTAGCTAGTAAGCATTCAAAAACTAATCCTATATAAAGTCAATATAATGATCAACGCCATCTTTGAATTGAGTACCACCTCTTGAAAATTTAAGATATTCACCAGATTTCACAACCCAGTGTTGGTCTTTCTTGTACTCAACTAGCTTTGGATGAGGAACATTATCATACCAAATCTGCTTAAACCGAAATATAAAATCATGCTGAAACAAGCTCATCTTATACATGAGATGGTTTGGCTTTTTTGGATTAATTAACCATTTGGTGATATGGTTTGATGTCAGTTGTGTTCAACTCTCTATCCTTGGACCATGTCATCCCAAACTAATGTGTTAGTTCAAAATTTAACCAAACAGTATGAGATTCTGGCTTTAGAGGTTTGTTTGTGACCAAACTTTAGCTTTGGAAGATTAAGTTGGTTTCTTTGCATGAGATAGTTACTGTTTTTAGAGTTGAAAAAACATTGGAACAAGGTCCTGGAGAAATTGTTCATCGGTGGCAATAGGTAAAAAATCAGTTAAGGCTAAGTTCAATGCTTTGTGCAAATGGTAGAATATTTAGTGTTTATATACCTTATTTATGCTTTCGTCTTTGTGTTAAACAGATACCCTATTTATATGGGCTAAAAGGCCAGGCCTATAACGCTTCATTTAAAATTTTTAAATAAATATTTAAAAAATTTAATTATTAATATTAATATAAATAATTAATATAAATAAATAATAAAATAATAAATTATCCTACTCATTTATGACACGTCATTAAAAATAAATTTTAGTCCTAATGATCAATGTAACTAGGTATAATTAAAGGGGGACCAACCAAATTTTAAGTGAGGTAAAATTTAGGGATTATAAAATTGACTTTTAAAATGAAGGGACTAAAATTGAAAAATCATAAAAATAGGAACGCCAAAAGTACATTTAAGTTGACTTTTAAAATAGAAGGACTAAAATTTAAAAATCTTCAAAATAGAGAGGCCAAAAGTAAACCTTAAAAAATAAATAGAACAAAAGCTTTAGTGATTGTTAATTATGTGCTTGGGTAAAACATTGTTTTTAGCAAATGTCCGAGACTATAGGACACTTTTCTTGTAGTGTGACTCAGAGCCCTTATTATCTATCCTTGTTGTAATGAAGATATGTGCATAATTAAACATGTCATAGAACTTTAAATTTTTTAAAATATCTATATTGAGTCAAATCAACTCCTTATGCATCAATTTGATTTGGTTCGATTTTGTAAAAGATATTCTAAAAGTGAACCAAATCAACTGTTTTGTATCCATTCAAAATTTAATTCTCCACAAAACCAAACCAAAAAAAAAACAGACTTCCAGTATTTTACTTGGTATTATATACTACACCAATTTATTGTTAATAAGCACATAAATGATTATGTACCTTTAATTTCTTGATAAAATAGATGAAGGAGTGAATTGCGGGGCAAATCTTCTTTGGCAGTGAGTTTGTTAGTTTCATCGACTGAATAGTCAACTACTGCCAGAGAAGTCATTGCCCAGTAATGCACCTACACATGAGTTTCACTACTGCTTAACAAGCTTTGTTGATTGATTTATGATAAACAGTTGAGCCTCATTGTAGCTATATATAGTATTTGTTGGTCATGTGATGATAAATAAAAACTTACACAGACATGCATGCGGCAACTAGCACACACATGTATAACAATCCAATGGATATTCCAAGCACATTCTTTAATTTGTTGAACAATTAGTTATTCTTACAACCAAATAAAGTGGTCCATACCGTTGTTGCTTTAGTAACACTCTCTCACCTCTACATAAAAGGTTTGAGACAATAGTAAATTCCATTCATATAGAGCAAAAGTAAATTAATACTAAGTTTTCATGGATGTTTAGAGAAAATATGTTTTTGCCTTTAGGACCATGCCTAGCACCCTCCACCAAAAAGGAAAAACCAAAAGAATCTGATTTACTAGAAAAAGAGATATCGTGACGTAGACAAGTCCTGAATTTTTTTGAAAGAAATTGACAATGTAAATATGTAATAAATAACTAGAACCTCAAATTGGATCTGTACTAGCATATGCTGCCAATTTGTAGTGGCATATCCAAATTAGGTGCTCAATGATATCATTATATAAGACCTTCATGTTGTTCAAACAGATTTAAAGCTAGAAGTGTGATAGCATATTTATGCTGCTGTTGAAGAATGTTAGGGAAAATCTTATTTGGCAGAGAGAAGTAACTAGAGTGCTTGAACATGCATCCTTCATGTTTGCCAAATGAGATTTGCCCTGCCATTTTTAACAGCTTTAATTTTGATTAACACTAATGCATATAATTCTTGAGGTATCCGCTTATAATTAATTAATTAATTAATTACTTTTGGTTTCTTTCTAGTTTATTATACTAAATGGTTTTCCATTCATGACATTGCAGTGATATGCTGAAGAATGTTAATTGTCCAAAGAAGACATTAAAAGAATGAACTATATTGTGGTGATTCATCAATTAGCAATTCTGTTTTCTGTGAGTAAGAATAGCAAATGTACTGCCTATTTGTGAGCAATAGTGCACAAATATTATTCTATCGTATTAATAAAGAATTATAGACTTGTCAATTATATATGCTCTAAAAGAGATGGCAAGAAATAATCTTAAGCATATAGGCTTGCATTATCTCACATCAGACATTTTCTTCTCTGGAACTTAATTACTCGTTACTTTACATGATAAAATACATGATCCTGACACTAAAACCTAATTATTGTATAGTTAGAATTTTTAAAGTTATGATGATGAATCTATTTTAAAGAAAGAAAAATAAATATTAGCAAATTAGTCCGCTGACATAGATTTTCTGGCGATAACCAGCAGAGACTATTATGAATTTTTAAATAGAATATATAAATAAAAGGCATTAAGCAGACATAATGCATCCGCAAGTGCACGGAAATATCAAAATAATATAAAAGATTGTCAAACTCACAAAGATCAATGTCAACTTACTGTAATCTATCATCGCTTTGTAAAGCTAAGCCTAATGAAATAATTGATTTAGAGGAAACTAAGAACTAAAACTGAAATAAAATAAAGATTAAGATAAATATAAGAAAAGAGAGACCATAATGTGTTTTTCGCGTACCTCAGGGACTCTAACTCGTTGGTTTATACTGATGTTAAAAATGTGTTTAGTAGAAAATATCAATTTAAGAACTAAACCTCACACTCTCGTAGTTTTGAATAAAGCGACATTCCTTAACCATGAGATTTTGCTCTTACTCGCCCATTCTAATCGAAGAACGCATTTTGAAAACTGAACAAGTTTTAATTAATCCTAAAGCGCTTTCGCTGTGTTTAAGATTAATGCCTAGTTTCTATTAACCGATTCTATCCCCACACTCTCGCAGTGCCGGCTCGAACCTTAGTAAATTTTATCACTCTCGTGGAAAAATCATGTTAAGTAACCTCTCACTCTCGTGACAAGACTATTTAAATTAAGTTTAAAAATAAAGACCAGAACAAAATTTTCAAATAAAGATTTAAGCCAAATTCGTTGCCGAGTCCCGTCGGAGACGACATTCCTCACATATCGGACTCAAGACAGTTTAGCTAAACATGGAATTAAGTGTAAACAAACTAAACATAACGACGGCAATTGAGAATATCATGGTTATTAAATTAAACAAACGAAACAATAGAAATAAGAATTGCGATAAAGAGAAACCTATCAAAGAAACTAGAATAAACGAAACTAGAATAAACTTCATAATATGCCAGCACGCTTGAAAATCAGGTACAAAATTGAAATAATAATAATAAAAACAACAATACCTAAAACTAGTGGTGTGGTAGTTCCTCGATGAGATAAATAATTAA